CGCCGGCTCGGGGGGGTTCTCGACCACCACGCCACGACGGCGGCGGCGGCGGCGCGGCGGCTCCGGCTGATGCATAATTAATTTTTCGAGCAAAGTTGAATGCAAAACAAAAGGCTTCCCGTTGCGGCTTGCTTCAGTAATTAAAATGTAGAATCGACAGCGCCGAGTTCACTGTCGCGCCCCTCCTCTCTCCCACCCCCTGACAATGGGGTACGCTATACCCAGTGTCGCTGCGTGTGTTGTGCAAGCCCCTTGCTCTGGGCCGTGACCCTGCCGGTCGCGAGTACCCCCTGGCCCTGCTGCCCCGAGGGGCCGCGCGCGAGGACCAGTTTGGCAGAGCGGCGGCAAGAAGGGTCTTGTGAGAAGTACCGGCGGCCTTTTGTTTCAAGCGAGTGAGCGCTTTTGTCAGCCCGCGGCCCGCGCGGTATTTTTGCATGATGGGGAGCGAGACCTCATCAAGAGCGGCGAGTCTAACGAATGAACGGGCGGTCGGTTCGGTCGTGCAGCCGCTGCAACAGCAGTCGCAATCACTGCTATACACACCGCGCTGCGAGTGAGCTGTTGCTGTTGCGGCCCTTCGTGTTGACGGATGGTCACGCCACTACTGCCGAGATGTCATTGGGACAATGCCGCAGCCCCGTTGCTCGGCGGCTCTCTCGTGAAATAATGTGTCATGTCGGGCGCGATGCGCGTATACGTTAGAAATAATAACTCTAGGAGTCGCACCGCACTGTTTCTATATAGTACACCCTGTTCTAACTTTTGCCGCTCCCTCTTCTGTCCACAGGTACGGCATGGACCTCAACGGCGCGCGCAGGAAGAACGCGACGAGAGAGACGACGTCGACCCTCAAGGCGTGGCTCAGCGAGCACAAGAAGAACCCCTACCCGACCAAGGGCGAGAAGATCATGCTCGCCATCATCACCAAGATGACGCTGACGCAGGTGTCGACGTGGTTCGCCAACGCGAGGCGGCGGCTCAAGAAGGAGAACAAGATGACCTGGGAGCCGCGGAACAGAGTCGAGGACGACGACGACAACAACAACGACGACGACGACGACCGCGACGAGAAGGCCAACAAGGATAACTTAGGTGAGCATCGCAGGATACACGTCGTCATAAAACGCGACCCTTTTTATTTCTCATCCGGGAAGGGAAGGAGGGGGTGGCGGCGGAGAAGGGCCGCGTTAGCGGTATTGACGGCTGGAACAAGGCCGCGGATCTTTCCGCTGCGTGTCTTATTGACGGCCCGCCATGACGAGCCAGCGGAACGGCAATATTGGACGCCTCGCCAGGCCTCGCCTCGCCTCCCCCCGCCTCGTTGTCGCCCGGGCCGCGGGACTGGGGCCGGCCGGGGCCGGGCACGTCAGGGGACGCAGCCAATAACTGCTATCGCCCCAACGTCACGTCCCCCGCCGGCAGGCCCGGGCCGGGGGTGGGCGCGGGGCTGGCGTGACATCCGCCGTCATATTCGTCGTGTCGCCGCCGACCGTCAATAGGGTATTTCACCTGAAGCAAACCGGATCCAAAGAAGAACAAGAGTTCTTCCTGAACTCTTTCCTCCTTGGCGCTCATTGGCCGATGCCGACGAAGTTCTCGGACCCGACACTAGGGGTCGACCGCCCTTGCGGCCAGTTCATGAACTTCGTCGGCGTAAGCCAATCAGAGCAAGGGAGGAAAGAGTTCAGGAAGAGCTCTTGTTCTTCTTTGGATCCGGTTTGCGTCAGGTGAAATACCCTATTCATATCGCGTTTCGTTGCGTACACATCGCCCTAATCCGCACTGTGTTTGTGTTCCAGATTCCAAGGACTCGGGCACGGCGAGCAGCGAGGACGGTGACCGGCCCGCCAACACGAGGCCGGCCGGCGACACGGGGTCCGAGTGGTCCGAGTCCCGGGCGGACTCGGGGCCCGACTCGCCCGAGCTGGTGGCGGAGCGGGACAGGCCGCCCTACCCGCACCCGCTGCACCCGGCCTACCACGGGCTGCCCTTCCCCCCCGGCAGGCTACCGCCGCCGCCGACCACCCCGCCCACCAGCACCACCACGCCGGGCGCGTCGACGCCGGGCAAGCCGAGGATCTGGTCGCTGGCGGACATGGCGTCCAAGGACAGCGACGTCCACCACCCCCACCACGGGCCGCCCCCGGGCCACCCTGGTGGCTTCTACCCCAGCCCGGGCAAGCTCATCTCACCGCTGGCCTCGAGAGGGGTAGGCCCCGTGGGCCTCCCGCACCCCCACCTGCACCCAGCCGCCGCCATGCACGCGAGTAGCTTCGCGGCGAGAGCGGCGCAGCAGGAGTTCTACCGGTCGTTCTACGGCTCGGGGCACCCCACCAGTGCCGCGCTGCTCGAGACCTACTCCAGGACCTTTGGTGGCGGCGTGCCGTCCAACGGCGCGCCCCCACCGCCCGGGATGAACCCCGCGCTCTCCTCAGTGCTGTCTAAGGCCGGCATGGCGGCGGTGGCCGCGGCCGTGTCCGGGGCAGACTCTCACCCGCTCAACGGCATGGCCAGCCAGGCCTCTGTCAACCCTGGCGCCTCGTCGTCGTCATCGGCGTCCTCGGGGTCGTCGATGACGTCGGAGACGATGCACGCCAAGCTGGCAGCGTCTTCGCCCGTCCCGCTGAGCAAGGCCTGACCCAGGCCTCTGGCTCTGCCCATTCACCCGGTGGCGCTGCCCGCCAGGCGCCTGTCCCAACAGGCAAACGTGCTGTGAAACTGTATGGCCCGTAAGTGGCTAAATGTTCTAGTTACCGATTTTTAAAGAGAGCGTACCGAAAGGTGCGTTAGAGTATTTATTATGTGAGTTGGGTGGCGGGAGGACTTGGACAGGAACAGAGTGGGGATCTTTTCGTGTCGAACGCCCCAGCCAGGCGGACACTTCGTGTGAAAGCCCACACATTTGTGTAACGATTGGGGGATTCTTTCAACTGGTTTTTGCACATTGGAAGCAAGGGGGTTTGTGGGAAAATAATTTTAATTAATCTGTGTTTCACAATTAAGGCATTATTGGTAAAATTTCCTGAAATTTAAAATTTTGTAATGTAAATTGTTGCAGCCACGACACATACCGTTAAATTTGTGGCGCAGGGACTAATTCAAAAGCGAAAGCCAAAGCATTAGGATATGTGGAGGACAATAATTGTTTTTTTAACGAAAGTGACTCTAGTGTTGCAAAGTAAACATTTCGGTAATGAATCCAAAGAAATTTTTGTGCAAATATCACAATTTCCACTGAGTAAATTATATGTTCAAATTAATATATGAAAATGAACTGTACATTACGTGTAGACATGCAAATAAGTAAATCTGTTTTGTAAGTATTATTGTAATCTTTACAATTATGAATGCCTCTCTGCTCTCATTTGTATATCATTGTTGCTTAAATATATTTATTTGTGGTTGTTCAGAGTACAACATTTATATATAAATTATGTTTTGTATTTCACATATTTGAATGTACGTGTTGTATATCTCGAACACACTTGTTGTGATTAGTCTTTTTTTTTTGTTTCACACGAATGATCTGCCTTGTTTGAACGGGTGACACGTTGTTTCCCTCTTTGTTGGTCTGTTTTTATTATTCTTCGGTACACCCGATCACCTTTATGTAAGTATATATGTACTTATGTGTCAAAGATGAACGTACATAGAATAAACGCATTATGAGTGATGAGATATATCTATAAAATCCGTCATACTTATTTTTACGAACCCACGAACTTATTCCCCAAAAAGAAAGGGCTCATGACTTCAAATCACTTTGCATTTCAATCATTACTTGAAGGGCATGACCTGTTGTCTGTCGTCGAAACAGTATTCAACTGTGTCTTATCACACCAGGCCGAAAGACGACAGTAAGAAAAAAAGCTTGAGTAAACAGTATATTGAATTCAGCTCGACATTTATTTCAATACAACGATAAGGCCGAGCATGAGATGCTCCGAACGCTGTCGATAAGACAGCTATAAATCCAAGAGCGAACCGGGGTAGGCCACTTACTCGCTTTACTTGCGACAAAGTTTCAAGTCGGCGGGGAGAGAGAGGAAAGGTCTGCATGCTGCCATAATAGATCACCGTAGCTGACAGTAATAGGAACTTTAAAAAGTAGCTGCCAGTAATCGCGAGAAGTAAAACAACTCCTCTCCGTATCCAAGTCCAGATCGTCCACCGAGAAGTGTTTGTGTAGGCGAGCCTCTGCACTGGTTTTTATGGTAGGCCGCTAGCTCAACAAGGCTGCTTTGCGGGTTGGCCTACCCAGCGCGTTGCAGGGGCCGTAGTCGCTTAGGTGCACTTGTTTCGGAATGACTCACACACTGTGCGCTTCCGACATGAAACTTCGACAGAGAGGGAGTGCAAATGGACGCTGTGAATCGGCCGGAACAGTATCTGCAAACCAATTATGTCACTTACTATGGTTTTTTGTCAGTCGAGAAAGGATTAAACGAAAGGACGAGGACGAGACACATCAAACAAGACCAAGCCAGCCTACCAATAGCCCAGGATCATAAAAGAAATTTTTTACCCCCCCC